AGAGCAGGAAAGGAGGTGAAAGGAGACAATTTTTTAGAGAAGAAAATTTTTCGGTCGCTACCCGGATTCGAACCCAGGACCTTTGAATGAGAGGCCAACACCTTAACCTCTAGGCCACGAGAACCCCGACCCCTCCTTGTTCCAAGGGTGGTTGAAAATGCTAATGTACGAGCGTATGTTTATTTTTTACAAAACTCTCTGCTATAAGACAGCAAAGCGTAGGTCAAAGACTTGATAAGTGTTAAGTTTTTTCCCTTTCGTCACGATATATTTCTATGTCCAGATTTTGCCTTTTCTCCTTACGTCACAATCTATTTCTGTGTCCTGGTTGGTGGGTGCTCGGGTGTGGTGTGCTTCTTCTTTCATATGAAACCTCTATCGTCCTTATCTCCCCCTCCTTCTTTTTTATGTTTGTTACTCTCTTGTAACACCTCTAATCTTCTGGCGCTCATATAACCTTATGCAGTTGCGAGCGCTGTAAAACCTCTACTAAAACTAAAAAACTAACAAACTGTCCAGGTTTTGCGTTTTCTCCTTATGTCACAATATATTTGTGTGTCCAGGTTTTGCGTTTTCTCCTTACGTCACAATATATTTGTGTGTCCAGGTTTTGCCGCTAGAGAACAACATGAGGAAGCCGGAGGACTTCACGGGCTGGTTCGGCGTGCTAAATCTGGGGATGGTGACCACCGTGTGTATGTACCTGGCCGTCGGCTTCTACGGATACCTCCAGTTTGGCAACACGGTGCTGGGGAGTGTCACTCTGAATCTGCCGGATAATAACTGGTGGGTGTTGTGGGAGGTTAACTGGTGGGTGGAGGATAACTGGTGGGTGTTGTGGGTGGGAGGTTAACTGGTGGGTGTTGTGGGAGGTTAACTGGTGGGTGTTGTGGGTGGGAGGTTAACTGGTGGGTGTTGTGGGTGGGAGGTTAACTGGTGGGTGTTGTGGGTGGGAAGTTAACTGGTGGGTGTTGTGGGTGGGAGGTTAACTGGTGGGTGTTGTGGGAGGTTAACTGGTGGATGTTGTGGGTGGGAGGATAACTGGTGGGTGTTGTGGGTGGGAGGTTAACTGGTGGGTGTTGTGGGTGGGAAGTTAACTGGTGGGTGTTGTGGGTGGGAGGTTAACTGGTGGGTGTTGTGG